TCTGTGGCCCAAGATTCTTAGGTTCTTTTAAAGTAAGTCTGGTTTGAGCCTAGAGACACTCATTTTAAAAAATAAACTTTAAATTTTTAATAAGTATCTAAAATAGACCTTATTCCGTGAAATGATTTTAGGTTTACAAAACTGTAACTCAGGTCCTTGCGCTTGCAAGGCAGGCCACCGAACCGCTGAGCTAAATCCCTGGCCCAAGATTCTTAGGTTCTTTTAAAGTAAGTCTGGTTTGAGCCTAGAGACACTCATTTTAAAAAATAAACTTTAAATTTTTAATAAGTATCTAAAATAGACCTTATTCCGTGAAATGATTTTAGGTTAATACAAAACTGAGCAAAAATCCACGTACCTCCTGCTCCTCCCACCTACCCACCCCCACTCGTTGCCTCACTGTCACCAGCCTGCCCCAGAATGCTGTATTTGTTAACAACGGATGACCCTACAAATACAGTATCACCACACCAAATCCAGTTCACACTCGGGTTCACTCTTGATGTTATATATTCTAAAAGTTTGGATTAATGCTAATGACATGTATTCATGCATCCATTATAATAGTATCATAGGAAATAGCTTTACCATAGCCCTAAAAATCCTCTGTTCTCTGCCCACTTCTTTTCCCCTCCTGCTGACCACTGGCAACCAGTGATAGGGATCAAACTAAGAGCCTTGGGCGTGCTAACCAAGCACTGCGGCTAAGCTACATCCTCAGCCCTTTTTATTTTTCACTTTGAAACAGCCCTCATTAAATTGCCCAGGTTGGTCTTGAACTCCCAATCCTCTGCCTCAGCCTCCTGAGAGTCTGAGACTACAGGCATGTGCCACTGCACCTGGCGTGCGGTGATGATTTTACTTTCTCTAGGGAAGTGATGGTGACATCTTTTAGGGCTTTACAAACAGCCAGCTGCAGTACAAGTGCCATAGGTTTACCACCACTGCTCTAGGGCTCCCTTTCTTCTAGAATCAAACATTCAGGTGATTCCTATGAACAGGCAACTCCTGGAAACACCAACCTAGTCATTTCATTTCAACACACAATCTTTCTTATAGACCTTTCGATTGTCTAACTGACATTTTTCTACCACCTGTTATTCCTTTTGAGTTAAAGGTATTTAATTTCACAGCATACTGCCAGATAATTCTCTAGAACTGCTTTATCACTTTACACTCCCACCAGCAGTGCCCGTTCTCATTAATCCGGCCTAAGTAGACATTTGGTTGATTGCTGTCACTTAATCACCATACTAATCATTAGCATTTAATAAGAAATGCATAGTTGGAACTTTACTGAGGAAAGAGCAGACAATATGCTCAAAATTAGGCCGCAGAAAATTTTCAAACCAGTACACATATCTGTCCCAACATATTGCTTTGTAACTTGGATTTATCTACATAGCTTTTTGTGGGAAGAGCAACAGTGTTTGCAGAATCATTTCAAATAAAAGAAACAATTTCAGAAACAAAGGATAATTAAAACTTCTCCTACAATAAAGCTAAACATCAGATATTCAAATAACAACTAGGCAAGAAACAGACAGTTGATTATCAGTGTGCTCATAAAGTAGAAATACAACCTCAAAGGTATTTTTCCCAGGTCATTACCTAGCAACATATGTTATAGGGTTTATGGTTTAACTCTTCATGTAACCTTTAACAGAGAGCATTTCACAAGCACTATCTACCATCTGTCATAAAAAATGCGAATATTTATTTAACAAAACTACAGTCCCAGTGACATCAAATCCTATCACTACAATACAGGCTGTTTGGTCATTACTTGGCCAACCCGTGTCTCACCCATTTACGAGTGGCTGGAGAAAGACAACACATATTTAATGAACACACAGCAGGATCCCAACATACAAGCCACTTTTTCAGCTAACTTGGACAGACCCATGTCACTCTTCATTAACGATCTCCATTTTCTCTTCTGACCTCCAATCTGTGCATTTCCATTCAAAGTTTCTTCAGAAGAAGCCGTCTCTTAATTTTCCATTTAGAACTGTTCAAGCAGTGATTTTTTTTTCAGCTTCAATTGAGTTTATTGGTATATTTTACGGATACAGTACAGTTGTTGGATCTTGTACCTCTACATGACAACAAGATCATTGTTGGGATCTTGTACCTCTACATGACAACAAGCAGTGATTTTTAAACGTTTCATTCCACTGAGCTTTGCTGAAGCCCAGTCTCTTTTTGTTCTTAAACTTTGACTACATGCTTGATCTACTTGTAAAGCCAAAACTTTTTACTATGTTATATATTTGCTTTGGAATCTTAGGTAATAAAGAATTAAAGTAACAAGTATTTCATTTTGTTAATGAAATATATCCAGATATATATAACACTGAGTGGCTGTAAGATTTATGCTATCTAAAGTTTACAAATACTTAGGTGATTAAAGTACAGGATTGCCTCTGTATATAATTCAATGAAAGTGAGAGCTTTTATCTACTTTTCTTGTATATACTAGTTTAGCCTATGGTATTGTGGCATTTGTATAAAGTATCAGAAGGAATTATTTTAAAAGTTAAATATTTTAAACGTTAAAACCAGCTTATTACAACAACTCTAATGATATAATTATTTGAGAGAAGGACACAGTTTTCTCCATCAGTTTACCTGATGTTCTTCCTCAGGACATCCTTTGGGGAGAAAAAAAGTTGCAACATATTATATTCTCTAAACAGGTTGAAAAGTGGAGATTTGGCTTACCTATGGTGAGTTTTGCTGAGGGAATTGGTACACAGCTGAACATCAAGCCAAACAGCAGCCAATGTCATTTTAATTCATTGTGGCACTGATTTCTGGACCATCTGTCAACCCACACTTCAACTAGGGATCCATTTAAAAGTACAATAGGTTTAGACTTTTTTCTTTGATTATTTTCCAGTGTTGCGCAGTCCCAATAGTCGTTTTTTTGTTTGTTGCTTTGTTTTTAAAATTAAAACTGGTTCTGTGTACACAAACCCTTCAGTTAGCTGCAAAGAGACGGCTTCGTTTACAGGCTGTCACCCAGGCAACCATCTAAGCAAGTGTCTAGCTTAGAGAATTGAAAGCAGGACAGTTTCATCCAGGAGGGAAAGCATTTGTTGCACATTCTTCAAAGTAGCTGTTGAGAGTTTTAAAAAGTTGGATCCCTGTGCTCTTCCATGGTTGACACTATTGCCACCATCACATTACTCACTGAGACTTTTTCCAGGGAAGCCATACCTGTGTCGTCCTTGTGAAATGCCGGAAGAGTCCTTTTTAGATCTGAAGGTAGGTTACAGAGTGAGCATCTACTATATCATCCCTGAACTGATTGTATTCTTAGAGCCACACTTGGGAAAGTTTCAGCAGCTGAAAACCTTTACATTAGAACACACAACTTGTCGGGACAGGCTTGTGGAATTCTAAAGCAGAAGCTTCAGTAAATGACTGCATTTTTGCCTGACTCATAAATGGAAATAAGCATAGCGAAAGAGACTGTGAACTACAAAACATACTCACAAGGAAGCAGACCCAAGGCATTCCAAAACATACGGTCAGCTGCCATTCGTGTGCTGCTAGGTTTTGTCCTGCTACTTACTGAAGAGTGAAGAAGTTTCTTTCCTAAAAATGTATGTGACATTATATAGTCTTGACATATACGACATTAACATGTCTCTAAAATACAAAGCTTCATTTCTGTTGCATTTTAACTGTATGACTGTTTATACTAATGTTTGATTTTTATTGCCTAGTCAATTTTCATTTTAACCTCAGTGTATCCTTTCTCAATGCCCATCTTGAGAGGGAGACGATGAAGTGAAAGAAAACAAGCCTGAAAGACAGATTTTTATTTCCGTCTAAGCTCCATAAGCCGGTCATTTAACCTCCCTGATAGGTTATATCAGAACACCTCGCTAAATTATTAATTAAATTACATTGATTTTGGGTTTTCAGAAAACATTCAAATGGGAAGAGGAACAAGGAAGAGAGGAGAGGGAAGAGTAAAAAGAACAAAAGAGAACAGAAGGAAAAAAATGGAAACAAAGCTTGTGTAAATAAAGAGAGGAAGAAGGGTTGAAGGAAAGGGAGGAAAATGGGGTAAAAAGGAATCAAGATATACTATTTACAGGTACAAGTTTCCTAAGGTGAATGTGATTATTTTGTATATCAAAAGTGTACCAATAAAATTAATTTTAAAAAATCACCTTGAGCCAAGAGTGGTGGCACATTGCTATAATTCCAGCACTTGGGAGGCTGAGGCAGGAGTATTGCCTTGAGTTTGAGGCTATACTGTCTACCTAGTGATTTCAAGGCCAGCCTGAACTAAAAGCGAGACCCTGTCTCAAAAAACAAAACAAATAACCAAACAAACAAAAAAATCACCTTTAAGCTGGGCGTGGTGGTGCACACCTGCAATCCCAGCACTCAGGAGGCTGAGGCAGGAGGATTTCTGTGAGTTTGAGACCACCCTGAGCTACATAAAGAGTTCCAGGTCAGTCTCAACTACACAGTGAGACCCTGTTTCAAAAATCCCTCCCCCCAAAAAATCGCCTTGATAAAATAAGCAACAGCCAGTTAAATGAGAAATAATTTTCATTTGGGACATACTTATACTAGAAATTACTTGTTGTTTGCCTGGAATTCAACTTTAACCAGGAATCCTGTATTTCTATTTGCAGAATATGGCAACCTTATCTGCTAACTTCAAGCTCTTAGGTAGTCAATTGGAATAATAGTGTCATCTTTGCAGGCTGTTTTGATGGTCTGTGCAGAAAAGAACCAACAACGAAAAAAAATCTTCTTGGAACTAATGAGCAATTATAGCTCAGTGCATTTTGAAAGGAGTGAGACTATTCAATGATAGCGTAATGGTGAATACATGCTGATATACATATGTCAAAACCTATTAGCATACAACACAGAGTAAACCCTAATGTAATATTTGGACTTTATATTAATATGTGTATAATTAGTTAATAATATATAAATAGTACTTAATCAATTATACCAAATATCCTATATTAATAGAAGATGTAAATAGTAAGGAAAGATTTTTTGTGGGTGGCAGGAATATATGGGCACTATACTTTCATACCAATTTTTTAATCTATAAATTTTCCAAAAATTGTGTTTTAATCATTTTTAGAAGAAAAAATATTGAATGGGAGGCATTTTTACCAAACAAATACAGAAGAATTTGTCACAAACAGATCTCTACCATAAACTATGCTACTAGAAGTTCTTTTCTGTGAAGGGAAATAATACCACATGGAAACTTGCACTGTTAGCAAGACATGAAGAACACCAACAAACAAAGACCAAATATGTGGATAAGTTTTAAAAAGAAAGTGATACAATAAACGGACTTACATGGTTGGATGTTTCTTATATTTTATGAGTAGTGATATAGGGTAGTAAACATAAGTAAATTATGAAACGTCAAGGCTGAATATGTTCTAGAATAAATATATTCCATTGCTAGAGGAACCACCAAAAAACAAAGAGATATAACTCACAAGTCAAAAACAGATAAATCAAATGCAACTAAAAAATGTTTAACCCAAAAAAGCAAAGAGATAAAAAGGAACAAAGAATAAATGGAGCAAATGGAAGACAATACAATGGTAGATATCAGCTCAATCATACAAGTAATTATGTCGACTATAACTAAAGGGTAGAGTTACCATCATGAATGAAAAAGAAAATCCAAACTATATACAGTATATAAGGAACATATCATAAATACAAAGACACAGAGAGATTGAAAGTAAACAGATAGGAAAAAGTGTACCATACACCAACTGAAATAAAGTGGGTGTGACTACTAAAATACTAAATAAAATAGACTTTAAGACAAAGAATATTTCCAGTGGTAAGAAAAATATTTCATAATGACAAAGGAGTAGATTCAATAGAAAATCATAAAAGTCAGAATGTGAAGCAAAATCGACAGAATTGAAAAGGCAAAGAACAAATTCTAGAACTCCAGCTGGACATTTTAATACCCCTCTTAAGAATCAATAGGACAAACAAGTACAATAGAAATATGGAATATCTGAAAAGCACTATCACTTTCTACTACATATATATAGATTTCTACACCCCACAGCTATAGAATATCTATTCTTTTCTAATGAACATGATATATTCATCAAGATAAACTACACGCTGTGCCAGACTTCAATAAATTTCAAAATGTTGAAATTTTAAATTAGATATCCAGTAAAATCCCAAATATTTGAAAATTATAGAACAAACTTCAAAGAAATTTGGGGATCAAAGAAAAAAATTCACCAGAAAAACTTAAAAATATTTTTAGGTAAATGACAATAAAAATACAATGTATCAAACTTTGTGGGACACAATAAAAACAGTGCCCAAAGAGAAACAAGCCTCCATGATATTAGAAAAGAATAAAGCGGTAATGCCATTAATTTTCAAAGATTCTATCATTATAATTAAAGAAGCTCGAGAGGAAAATTTGAATACTTTCATTATCAATTGCTCTGACAATAGTTACACATGGAAAAACAATACGCATATGTTCTTTTTCCCATGAAGATCTGGCAGTGTTGTGGGAAATGTATATGTACAGGACCTATTTGCTTTTTATTTGCTATATAAGTATTGGGCAGGAAAGGCAACTAGCCTGTGATCCATTTTTTCTCCCATTACTGGATGGAGATGAAGGTTCCAGCTGCATCTAGAGAAAGAGAGCAGATAGTTCAATGCTGCAAACATCTGATAACTGGACCTCCTGGCAAATATGTTATGTTATTTTCTAGGAGGAAAATCCCTACCCATGGAGTGATTTTTGTAGACTACCTCCACCTTAGGATGACTAATGGTGAGCTGATGGATTTTAAAGCATGGCTTCTTGAAAAAAATGCTATATAATCTATATGACTATAAGCAGGAAACCTTTCATTACAGAAAGTACATGTCTTAAATGGGAAGAAAGAACCTAAGAGTTGCCCTCAGGGTCTCAGACCTCTCCTTGCTGGCCTGTTCCTATTGACTGACTGATTGTATTCCTAAAATTCTTAGTAAATTTTGATACTAGGGAAGATCTCTGGATAATATGATTTGACAATAGGATCCTTTGTGTACACAGACATCCATAATCTGTTTGCCTACCAAATGTAATTATCTTTGAAATATGCTTTGTGCCTCTATCTATTGGTACTGTTTTGTTTGTTTTTTTTGTTGTTTTTTGGGTACCGGGGATCAAATTCATGTTCTTGTGCTTGTGAGGCAGGCACAGTGCCACTGAGCTAAATCCCTAGCCCATTTCATATATATATATATATAATTTTTTTTTCTTTTGGTACCAGGGATCGAACTTGGGTCCTTCCGCTCATGAGGCAGGTGGCAGAGCCACTGAGCTAAATCCCAGGCCCCAATGATATTTTTAAAAATAGATATAGATACTGATATTTTAAGAGACAGAAGAATAGGCAAATTAAAACAATAAACATGACAAATATAATATTTTTTATGAAAGGGGCTCTAAAACAGTAGTTAGGATTGGTGAACACTTGTCCTAAATGTTATTTAGCTATGTGAGTTGGGCTTGGTTTTTCCATGTATAAGGTGAAAGAGCTGTAGAATAGAATTTTTTTTTTTTTTTGGTACTGGGGATCAAACTCAGGTCCTTGAGCTTGCGAGTCAGGCTCTGGAACCACTGTGCTAAATCCCCAGCCCAAAATAGAATTGTTTAAATCCCTTCATGTTCTAAAAATCTGGAATTACAAAACAGTAAGAAAAAAATTCTTTGCCTAGAACAACTAGAAAGAAATGAGAAACAAGACAGTGGCCAAGTCATCCCTCTACTTATCAAATGCTTGAAAATCTAATCCCACTTACGTATGTTCTCTTGGGCTTTAATATCTTCCAATCCCCAGGAGCCTCTCTGATCCAACAGACTGTCCGACCCACTCTATTCCCATGTCATTTAACACTTCAGTTACGATACTTAACAGAGTTGTCCTTGCTTTAGAATTAATGTTATTTCTTCATTGG